ACCTGGGGCGAAGGGACTACATTCCAGGGGAGGGGTCGAGACCTCCTGGGGACGTGCATTGGAACAGCAAGCCCTCAACAAAAACGCGTCGGACGTCTGGAGGTGCGGGTGCGTGCGCTTTCAGAGCGCGGGCGCAGGAGAGGCAACCGGAACAAAACAACCTGCACAACTGTTGCATGTCGGTCTATGCGCCCGCGTCCCGCTCCACCCCAGGCCCAGTACGAACGAAAGACTAACTAACGCCCGCGGCCCGCTGTGAAATACCCCCCTCATATCCGAATTCGGATGGGCCTCGGGCCTCCAGGAAGCCATGCTTCGGCGCATTCAGAGTCTCGGTCCAGTGGTCTCCTTTCTCTTTCGCATCCTGACCCTCCCCCTCTCCCTCCTCATCCTCATCGTCCTCCTCCTCCCTTTCGCATCCTCACCCTCTCCCCTCCCCCTCTTCATCCTCATCGTCCTCCTCATCCTCCTCCTTCTCCTCCTCGCGCTCCTCCTTCTCCTCCTTCTCCTCCTCCTCCTCCTCCTCCACCATCTCATCCTTGATCTTCCTTCCTCACGCTGTACCGTATGGATCCCCATGCCATTTCGAAGGCTGAGGTACAAGCAGAGAGCGGGCGAGGGGTTCCTCGACAGGATGGGAGGGGAGGGGCGAGGCGAAAAAGGCGCAAGGGAAGAATTAAGCCGTTCCCTGCCCGCCTCCTCGTCCTCCGAGGGCGGGAGGGTCGGAAGGAAAGGGAAACCAGCGTGCTGGGAGGGTAATGCAGAGGGGGGGAGGGGAGGAAGAGCACTGCAGCACGGGGGGTTAGATGGGGGGACAGGAGCAGAGGGTGAGCAGCAGGGCAAGGGAGGGCGCGGCGCCGTCAGCGGGGAGGCATGCCCGCCCAAGCCCGCGCCCAGGGGGGGGCGGCGGCCTGCTCCGCCGCGTGCGGCCTGCTCAAGCCCAAGCCCGCCCAAGCCCGGCGGCCTGCTCCGCCGCGTGCGCCCGGGGGCGGCAGCGGCGGCGACGCGGCCTTCGCCCCCCCCCCCCCCCCTCCTCGCGTGCTGCGCTCGCTGCGCCCGTGCTCGCTGCCCCTGCGCCCGCCCGCGCGCGGGCACGACCCATAACCTGCAGCGACGGCCCACCCTGCCCTCCAAGGAGGGCACGGCTGGCCTGGGCGGCCATAACTCGCCTGTCGAGGGGTCCTACTTGTCCTAGCTGAGTCACCGCCGCCGTGTCGACTCGCCCCCGTGCCTCCCGCAACACAAGTGGCAATCAAGAGATTGTGGTTCACAATCTTGAGGTTGTGGTTCCTACTAGCCCTGTGCTGTGGCCTCCTGCGTATTGGGATGCGTCTCTTGTTGTGGGCTCTGAGATTGACGTTGCTCACACCCCTCCTCCTCCTCCTGCTCCTCCTCCTTCTCCTCCTCCGCATCAGCATCACATCACTATCAGCATCATCAGCATAAGCACCGCAGCAGCATTAACATCAGCATCAGCATTAGCATCATCATCATCAGCATCATCCTCATGCTCAGCATCATCATCATCATCATCATCATCATCATCAGCAGCATCACCACCAATATCATCATCATCAACACCATCATCATCATCATCATCATCAGCATCAGCATCAGCATCAGCATCAGCATCATCATCATCAACATCATCATCATCATCATCATCATCAGCAGCAGCATCAACATCAGCATCAGCATCAGCATCAGCATCATCACCATCACCATCACCATCACCATCACCAGCATCAGCATCAGCATCAGCATCAGCATGAGCATGAGCATCAGCATCATCATCATCATCATCATCATCATCATCATCATCATCATCATCATCAGCAGCAGCATCATCATCATCGTCTCACTCCCGCTCCTGCTGATTACAGCTCCTCCCTCCTCCATCTCCCTTCTCTCTCCTCCCCCTCCTCAGAGCATGGGAGGCGAGGGGGGCAGTCGGAAACGAGAGGGTGCGGAAGGGAGGGGGACGGATGGGGAGGGGGCGGCAAGGGAACTGGAGGGAGAGGCGGGAGGGAGGGAGGGAGGCAGGAGGCGCTGGGGAGGCTGCCCGTCCGACCGCCCGCGCGCCTGACTGCCCGTGGCCGTCGTCGTCGCCGCCGACGTCGTCGAATACGCCGTCGCGCCGTCGAACGTCGAACGTCGAGCACATCAAATATCAAATCGAACGTCGAACGTCGATCGAACATCAAACATTGCTGGTGATCTTGGCCCTCCCTGGGCTTCCGGAGGTGGCCTCGGGGGGCGACCGGGCGGAGGGCCGAGGCTCGAGGCTCGAGGACCAACATGTCAGGGCACTGTTGGTCCGTTCTGGGCCTCGGCGGGAGCGCCCGCGGCTGGGTCCGCCCCGAGATTCTAGTCAGAACGCGCCCCAGGACAGGGTCGGGAGCCGCCTACGCCGTCGCCAGCGTCGTCCGTCGAGGTTGTCCGTCGTCCGTCGTCCGTCGTCCGCCGTCCGTCGTCCGTTGTGGGTCGTCGTCGTCGTCGTCGTCGTCGTCGTCGTCGTCGTCGTCGTGGTCGTGGTCCGTGGTCCGTGGTCCGTGGTCCGTGGTCCGTCGTCGTCGTCGTCGTCGTCCATCGTTTCAATACAGCATCCCATAGTTTCGAGGATGCCTCAAGACCCGAAGATTTCGCGATCGATTTCAACATCTCCATGGTATCAGGATGTCTCAGGCGACAACGTCATGTTCAGCTTGAGGCATCTTCAAAAGATATCCTCCCACATCTCCATGTGGTGAGGATGTCTCATGCGAACCGCTTACTTTGAAAACCTCTCCTGACATGAACGGGAAGCGAGCGAAAGAGACGAGCCGTACGAACGTCCACAGGGCATACCGTTCGCAAGCCTGTACCTGATGTTCCTCCTCAGTCCTTTGTACTCCTCCAGTTTCCCCCGTCCCCCACCCCCTCACTTTCATCATCTTTTGTCATCATCATCTTCACCACCGCCATCACCAACACCATCATCGTACTATCATCACCAGCAACATCAGCGACAACGTGAACAATATCATCACCACAACCACTGTCACCATCATCAGCACCGTCATCAGCATCAGCATCAGCGTAAGGATCAGCTCCGGTGTCATCAACGGCATCTGCATCAACATCATCATCATCATCAAAAACATCAAAGTCAGCATCGACAGCTGCATCATAATGTTACGTGTTCGAAGACCCGTCCAAGCACATGTTCCAGGATACCTCAAGCGAAACGCATACGCGTGAACCGACGTATTGCAACACACTTGGTGTTTCGCCTCCCCCCGAGGAATGTGTGCGTTTGTGTGCGTGTGTGTGCGTGCGCGGCCTTGTGTGCGCGGGCGTGTGTGCGCGTGCGTGTGTGTGTGTGTGCGTGTGTGTGCGTGTGTGTGCGTGCGCGGGCTTGTGTGCGCGGACGTATGTGCGCGTGCGCGTGCGCGTGCGCGTGCGAGTGTGCGTGTGCGTGTGCGTGTGCGTGTGCGCGTGGGCGTGCGTGTGCGTGTGCGTGTGCGTGTGCGTGTGGGTGTGCGTGCGTGTGCGTGTGTGCGAGTGTCAGTGTGAAGGTGTTACCGCATCTCTCTCTCTCTCTCTCTCTCTTTCTCTGTGCCCCCTTGTCTCTGGCAGCTTGCGCGCCCATGTGGTGCGCGAGGGCGTGAGGCTGGAGAAAGACAACGGCTAACTGATTTAGCCCTCGCAATAGTCGACGCTTGGCTCGCACGCACAGTGCAGCAGAACAATGTACGTAGCAGTCTCGCAGTGGCGCTCCTTCCGCTGGTTCCTGCACCAACTCTTCCCAAAATATTATCACCTCCAGCACGGACGTGCAGCAGACCAGCGCTGCCGTAGCATGTAGGAAGACATGTACTGTATATCCGCCACCGCCCCCTCGGCACGAGTGGGCGCGTCAGGAATACACGTTCAGCAGTGCTCTCCCATTGTGGAGGGCCCTCCCCCTCGACGCAGTCCTGGGCGATGGAATAGCCCCCCTGCACTTAGGTCTTCCGGAGCTCCTCCTGGCCGCAGCACGGATCCAAGATGGGCCAAAGCCGTCCCAACACGCCTGCACGATATCCTCAGACATGCTCGAAGCGGCCAGCGACCTCCCAGAGGCTCCAAGGAGCCTCAGGGAGGCCCCGAGAAGCAGCTCCGCAAAGCCCGATAGTGGCGCCCAGGGAGCTCTCCAGTAAGCCTTCCGTGGGCCAGCAAAGCGAAAAAGCACGTGGCTGCTCATGGCTTCGCTTCCCGCGCGTCTCGCTCAAGATGGGCCACCGCGATCCAGGGCAGACCCCAGGCGGGCTCAAGATGAGTCTATACCGAGCCGCCTCGGGGTCGCCAACGTGCCCAAGACAGGCCCGAGAACCCCCAAGGGCCCCCCCACCGGCTCCCGAAGTGGTCCAAGGAGGGCGACGTGAAACCCAAGAAGCCCCAGAAGACGCCCCCTAAGGAAATCCCTAAGAAATCACCAGGATCGAAAACATTAAACATGCAAAGTTTCGGCAACTTCCCACTGAGGTACCGTCGCGCTACTTCTCCTTCCCCCTCCTCCCCTCAATATCCTCCTCCTCCTCCTCCTCCTCCTCTTCCTCTTCCCAGCTGCCCCAAAATGTTTATACTGTGCATTTCAATCGAGCTCGTCAGAACGACCCGAGTGCGTTTGGATGATGCTCTGTCACAGCTGCGGGGTTTGCCAGAAGCAGCTGGAGATATGTCCACAAAGTGAACGCCAGCTAAGCGTGGCCGATACAGCCCGCGCAGACGTGAGTAAAGAAATGACGACTAGAATACAAATCAGCAGCAACGCAGCAGCGAAGGTTCTACCCCTCAACCGGTATTCAACGCGGTGCAGTCTCCAGTACAGCTTGAAAACGCCCTGGTGGGTGCGACGCGAGCAAGAGCTCCATCAGATTATTCGGCAATCTGCACAGATAACTCTCAGTCAGGAAATATATCTGGGCTGCCGGGTGCGCGGGGCGGCGTCACCTCCGGGAGGCCGCCACGGCTGGCCCTCAGAAGCCGCCACCCTTGAGCCCGTTTTTCTACCGTTCGCGATCACGCCCGTGACTGGCCCTGCACCCCTGCCCTTCTCCCCCCCGCCCCCCCCCCGGGTCGCGCCACGATTTGCGCGAAAGCCATCCGGGCATGCGCCATTCTCTTGAACATTCCCCAGACGGCGCCAGCGCGAATCGCGACGTGACACGCCACCTCCCAGCCTCCCACCCCCTCTCCGGTCACGCCCGGTATCGCCAGGAGGTAAAAAAACGGTCTCCTTGAAGCCGCCGCCGCCGTAGGGCATGCCGGCGCCGCCGTAAGGGGGCGGCACGCCGCCCATCGGGCCTGGGCCGCCGTACGGAGCGCCGCCGTACGGGTCTGGCGGGCCGCCCCCGTACGCGGGCGGGGCCCCGCCGAAGCCGCCGAGGCCGCGGCTCGGCGGAGCGCCGAAGCCGCCGGGGCCGCCGCCGCCGTAGGGGTCCCGCGGCGCTCCATAGGGGTCGGGCATCCCGCCGCCTATGCCGCCCAGCATGCCGCCCCCGTAGTCGCCAGGGCCGGGGCCAAGGTCGCCAGGCCCACCCATGCCCATGCCGCCGCCACCGAAGCCGCCTCCTCCGCCGAAGCCGCCTCCTCCACCGAAGTCGCCTCCGCCGTTCTTGCCACCGTTCTTGCCGCCGCCCTTGCCCCTGCCGCCCTTGCCGCCCTTGCCGCCCCCGCCGCCAAAGCAGCCGCCGCCGCTGCCGCAGCCAGTGCCTCCCGAGATGCTCACGGCGCACGGCTTCCCATTGCGGTCGTCCACGCCTGCCTCGTAAGTCACCCGGTCGCCCTCCTTCAGCGGGTTGCCTGTGCAGTTGTTCCTGTGGGCGAAGATGTCAGGCGATCCGTCGTCTTGGATGATGAAGCCGAAGCCCTTCTCGTCGTTAAAGTACTTCACCATCCCAGTCTTCATCCCGCCTCCAAAGCCTCCGCCGCCGCCTGGGCACCCACCGAAGCCTGGGCCGCCCATCATGGACCCTGGGCTGCCGAAGCCACCTCCGCCGCCGCCGAAGCCGCCTTTGCCGCCCTTGCCTCCCTTGCCTTTGCCGCCACCGCCGCCGCCAATGTTGGGCGGCCCGGTGCCTCCTGTCACGCTTTTGGCCTGGGGCTTTCCGTTACGATCGTTTTCGGCCTCATCGTAGGTTACATTGTCGCCCTCCTGCAGCACGTTGCCGACGCAGTCGTTGCGGTGCGCAAACAAGTCAGGACTGCCATCGTCCTGGATGATGAACCCATACCCCTTCTCCTCGTTGAAAAACTTGACGACTCCACTCTTACTCATCGCGGCAACCCTAGAAGAAGAAACATCAGCAGGGGTCCGCGCGGATTTCTTGGATCGGCGCTGGACCCCCCTCCCTGGAACGCGGAGCGCGCCAGGGGAGGCGGTGGAGGCGCCGCCAGGGGAGGTCCAGCGCCGATCCAAGAAATTCTCGTGGACCTCCGATTCTTCTTCCTCCAGGGTCCTGACGATCGCCTCACCACCCGCGGGCGAAGCGGGCGGCACCCCCAGTCGGAGCTCCAGAGCAGCGCAACAAGACTGCTCGAGTCAAAGCGACGGTGGAGGCCGAGGACGAAAATGATGTTAGGTGCTCGTTCCGGTGACCTTCCTGGGGCAACTTGCTCCGCATGCGTTGATGCTGCGTCGAATGTCAATCAACCAGAGTCGTACTTTTAGGTCGGGCATATCCTTCCACAGGGGTTTTGGACGATTTGTTTTTGAATACCCCCAACAAACTCAAACATAGTAGAACATATGTTTTGACTACTTTTGAATAATCCTCCTGTAGAGGGACGTGCCCGCCTTGATCGTCCTCGAATCGAACCAGAATCGAACAGATCCGTCAGGCGGGCCCCACGCAAGCCTCCCCAAACCAGCATTTGAACGATGGCGGCCGCGGCGATGACAATGACGAGCACGACGACGGGGACGCACGCAGGCACGCATAAGGGAAAGTAGAAAGGGTCCGATGGTCTTATGAGCCTTGTGAATGTACTCTTGGGTGTACTTTTGGGCGCATCGCCCGTGGGCTCGCCGGAATGGCCGCGCGGCGACGCCCGCGCCCGACGCGTCCGTGGGCCCGGGCCATCGGCCCCCGGTTCTGCTTTTGAGCCCCCCCCACCCCATTCGAAAGTACAATTTCCCGAGTGCGCTTTGGAGAAATGCGCTCCAAAGTACGATCCGCCCGTGACTTCCCCAAATTGTACTTTCGGGTAGACCCCTTCGAAAGAGCCGCGCCGTACTTTTGAGCGAGCCCCCCCCCCCCCCCTGGGGACGCGGGGAAATGGGGCGCGGGGGGGGGGGGGGGCGAACGCGGGGGGGCAGAGACGCGCGCGCATGCGCGGCGGCCGCCCGGCCCGCCCCGCGGCGACCCTCGGCCGCTCGTGTTTCAATATTTTCCAAAGGACCCATGCACGCATAGGACCCTTTCTACTTTTCCCGAACGCATGGCCTCCGCACGTAGGCGCGAGGTTGATTGGAGAGGACACGCGAGAGGACTCAAGACCCTTCCGAGGGCCACAATTCCACAGGAATGTAGACGGCATGGGTCGGCAAAGACAGGACGCAAGAACACCCTTGATTTAGCAGGGTCGACCTACCAATCCGCCTCGACTGTAGGCGCGCCTCTCCGCCTGCAGCTGCGTGTTCAGCTCCTCGTTCAGCCGCAGGCAGAAGCCCGCGATCGGCTGGCCTCGCCCTCGCCACGGCCGAACCACCTCCCCGCCGTTCTCCCACAGCGGAGACCCCCCAAGAGGGCCGATGCATCGCCGGTGTGCATCGGCGCCGTCGGCGTGGAGAGAATCAGGCCCCACCTCGGTCCGCATCGTCGATGCATCGTCGATGCGGCGCGATCCTCCGACCCTGTTCGCTCTGGCCCCATCTGGGAGGCCTGGATACAGTCAGCGTGTGGCCATGAGCAGCGCCAGGTAAGGAACGGACAGGCTCTTCTGGCAACGGCGAGCCTCGGCCGCGAACAAATTGCCCGACCTTGAACGGAGGAACGGCCCAGAACAACAAAACCCATCATTGTCCTGGAGTTCTTGGTTTCAGAGACTTGGCCGTACCTCCCCGCGGCCGGCTCCGGAGGCTCTGGATCCAACAGCGTTGGGGCCCCGCGCTTGCTTCCGCCGACCTTCCTCCAACAGACCCGCCGCAGCTTTACTTCCGATGGCCTTCCGCTGGCTTTCCGCCAAGGGCGAGGGTGCGCCAAAGGCGGGGCTCTCTCCAGAGCGCCCCCCGCGCATACGTTACGTACGGCAGGTTCGCGACGCGTCGACCCCAGCGGTGGCTCCTGACCCCGCGGGAATCGCTCAAACTTGAACGATCGACCGTTTCGGAAACGCTGGATCGTCCAACGATGGCCCGATTTTGTCGGGGATGGACAGACCCCCCTTTAGTAGAACGTGGTTTAGTGAAAACGACCTGAGGCCCAAACCTGGCGGGCGCAAGCCTGGAAAACAACGGCCACTGCGAGGCGTCTACATATTGGACAAGGCAGGTGGTCAAGGATTTCCAGGCACTGGCGGAGGCCAGCGAGGACGTAGCAAGCTGTTACCCGCAGAGGCAAACCCACATCTCAATGTTCCAAACGGCTACGAGACACTGGGAAGCGTGGATAGGAACGGACCCCAGCATTCTTCGACATGCAGGGCGGACTTGGGATACTAAATTACCAGACATATCAGTGGGAGAAGAGCTCTTCGCTCCGTATTGGTGTGACTAGGAGACGGGTGCAGATGGACAGGTGTGTGGGGCACAATTCACTACGGCGGCAGTGCCTGCAGCGCACGGGAGAGTGGTGCACAACTGTCTTCCACTGATCCCCAGCCTCGTGGTAACAATCAATGCCCATGGTGCCTGAGCTCGCTCGCGCCCCCCCCAAAAAAAACACGATCGACCATGTCATACGGGCCACGGAGAGTCACGGGATTTGCTATAAAAACAGAAGCTGCTGGAATCACCCCGTTCAGTAGCCTCCTTCCCTAAGCTGCACCATATGTGGCTTCCAGGCTGAATCACTTAGGAGATGTTCAAGTGCACGTGCGCTGCCACCATCCAGGACCTCACATCTGAGATGGCGGTTGCACCATGGAGACTGCCGCCCCCGCCCGAAAGGGGGGGCAGACGCGGAGATGGAAAGAGCACCGAAGCACCGCAAGGGCGGCAAAGGAACAGGCAAGGACCGGTGGGCCATGGAGAGGGCCAGCGCCAAGGCGGCAGGGAGCTCGCCCGCGGCCGCGGCCGCCGCAACGGGAGAGGGCGGCAAGGGAGGGGGGGGGGGGGGCCGCAGGCCCCCCCCGCCAGCAGCCCCAAGCAGCGGAGGACTACGAGGATACCGGCCTCAGAGGATGCGCCAACGAGCCCCGACGCCCGGCCCTCCGCTCCGCGGCGGAGATGAGAGAGACGAGCCACACGACCACGGGCTTCTATCTCATGCCAGTCCGCCATTGGGCGCTTCGGGAGTCGATGGGAGCGGGGCACGGTTACGGGAGCCAGGTTAGGGAGAGAGGCGAGGGGCACATCCTGGGGCCGCCAAGCATCCACACGGGGTTGGCGCTCATGGAGGGCATCCAGGACATAGCGTCGGAAAGGCAGAAAGAAGATCCCACAGCAGTGGCGGCGTCGATGGATCGGGCGATGGACGCGCTGAACGACTTCCCGATAATTGTGGACGGCAGCGACGAGCACAGCCAAGCCATGGTCACAGAGACGATCAAGATGTGCAAGGTCAGCGAGAGCTACAGGGCCCGCAACAGCAAGAACAGGAACCCGAACGAGGACGAGCAGCAGTTCTGGGAGGAGGGCCTGGGCAATATCCGGATCGGAATCAACGAGACCCCCAACTTCAGGGCAGTGCCCCCGAAGGACACGAAAGAAGAGACCATGGCGAAGCTGGACCAGTTCTCGGACCGCAATCTGAAAGTGGCAATGGGGATGCTGATATGAAGGGGCCCTGGGACACACAAATAAATACACACAAATAAAAATACCCCCCATATTTTCTCATATTTTCTAGGTTTTTGTCTTCCCCCCCACTTCCCATATTTTCCCATATTTTTTGGGGGGAATCGACGATTAATTGTGTCTGTGTGTGTTTTTCCCCTCCTGAAGATAGTCTTCGTGGGAGGCAATGAAGTCTCAGCCGGCGGCGCCCAAGAGGGCCCCGCGCAGCCGGCTGCGGAGCACGCCCAGCGACCCTCGCTTCTCCTTCACAAAGAGAGAGCGCGGGCCGTGCTCCGCCGGCTGCAGGCGCCACGCGGGGGGCCCGCGGCCGCCGCCAGGCTGACCGCGGCAACGGCGGCACGGGCGGCGGACGCCGCACGAGCGGGCGCCCCCCGATCGACGACAACCAGGGGCACCCGACGACCCACGATGACCCCCAGCCCCCCGACGACCCACGACGACCACCGACGACCCACGACGACCCACGACGACCCCCGAGGGCCTCCGCCGACCCTCGCCCCTCCCCCCGCCCCCCGCCCGCCCCCTGCGTGTCTGCTTGCCTGCTGCTGCCCTTGCCGTCCCCTTCCCCCTTTCCCCTCCTGCGTGTTCGTGTCTGCTCGCCGCGTTTTCTCTCCTCCCCCTTCCTTCCCCTCCTCCTCCTCCTCCTCCTCCTCTCCTCCTCCGCGCTGCGGTGCCGCAGTGCCGCTCCAGACTTGCTGGATGGTCGGAAGCCAGGCCGCTCGTCGTGGGCACGCCGTGTCCCCCGCCCCCTCGTTTTCCTCGTCCTCCCCCTCCTTGCTCCTCCTTCCGGCCGCGCTTCACGATTGAGGATGAGGGGCTGCTCCCTTACAGCAAGGGGGCTCCCGCCACCGAGCCGGTGGCCCGAATATCGGCCACGCTCGCAGGACAGATTCTGACCGATATTGTTATGGTTTTGCTCTTTGCGGCGCGCCCTTGGCGCGTCGGGCCTCCTCGTTTGGAGTTTGCTGTGCGTGGGGCACCTCGGGCCGTCGGAGAAGATGATGGAACGAGAACTCCAGCGTCGGCGCCGCCGAGAGGGGAGGGGGCATTGCATTGGCGAGGACATCTCGGAGTGCAAAAACCCCAGGGCAAAGTGCCAGACCGCGGCTGACGCGGACGAGCACCTATGCTGCCCCTCCGACAGCACGAAACTCTGAGAGCGCCGCCCTTGGGGAAGCCACCCCAGGGCAGTCGGCCATAGCAAGAGCGCCCAACAGCGGGCAAGCGAAGCGGAAGAGACATCTTTCCAATGATAACAATGTAGCGGAGTCAATCAGCATGGACATTGAGCGCTTCACCAAGCTTAGACGCTTTGCCCCAGAGGGTAGGATATAGAAATTGGCCTTACATATTCGAGCAGAATAGGAAGCGGCGTTGCAGAGAAACGCTTCGGGAAGAGGCCTCCCAGGCAGCAGCCAATCCTCCCATCCCAGTCAGTGGCCGACATCTTCCTTTATGGCGACACGATATTCATCGACGTCCCCCTACTCCATCACAGCTGCGGGGAAACGGCGGGCGGGGGGTTTTGCACGCTGCGCGGCAATTATCAGCACAATGTAGAGATGGGCCACGGACAGCGGGGGGAGAGAGTGGGACCATCATCCAGAGTGCTATGCGATATCCTCGGGGCCACTGGGCACTACACTTCAGCCTCCATCGATCACTGTCGCCCCCCGCAACCCATCTGGCTCAGCGACGGTCCAGGCACGCAAGCGTCGCGCGCTGGCGGGGATGTCCCGGGGCGCAGGGTGCTGGGGGCTGCCCGTGGCCTTCGCGAGCAGCGACAAGCTATGGCGGTACTACGAGATGATCGAGAGCCACAGGGGGCGCGCCAATAACGGGCCAGGATATGAAAAATCAGCCGATCCGGCGCGAGTTTGAAAAGGCCTCAGCTACAGCCTACGGCCTACAGCCTGAGCTTCAACTCTGCTGGGGGGGGGGGGGGCGGCGGGGGGGCTCTGCCAGTTTGAAGGGGGCCAGCAGGCCCGCCCAGAAGCTCTGCCTTAGGCGAAGCACAGCTCCAGCTCTGTTGCATCGCAGTAGCGATAGTCCCAGTCGAAGGAGGTCGTCGCGGGAACGACGGGCCATCTCAAGCGAAGGATGTTTTCGGTCTCGATGGCGAGTAGTCTTCCTCGCAACGAGGCACAGTCAAATGTTGGCGGCCGGCCGCTTGAGCACAAACGGCCGTGGACAAACGCTCGCTATCTCTCGCCCTTGTCCCAGCGCGCTTTAGAGTCGGGGGGGAAGGGGGGCGAAGCGTGAGTCCGCCGCCACCACGCAGCAAATATTACGCACACAAGGCGGCGGAGCCGTAGGGAAGGTGGACCCGCAAGCAAGTTGCCTTGCAAGCACATTGTTGTGCATGTGATTACTCCTCAGGCGGCCACAGACCAAGTTGTCTGGCCAGCCCGATAAGGAGCATGACGCTTTAAGTCATGCTTGAAGGATTGCGTGCCTCCCATGACCTGTAGGAGCATATCTCTATCAATGCTCCCCTTTGCGTGACCGTCCGCGGTCATGTCGCGAGGCCCACACCACTGAATGCTATGCACGATTCCTCGCTCCATCATCTGTCGCATGCAACTGATGTGTCCTAGAAGAATACACTCAGTCGGATGATTCGTCTCCGCTTGGCAAGGACTTGATTCAGCATCTATGGCCAAAGTGACCTTAATGCTGAGGCCACCCAACTCAAGTATATATTTCAACTGAGTGGGGGTCAGCGGGCCTGCGTGGAGCTGGCGCAGAGTCACGATCGTGGGATAGCAGTCCTCCAAGTTGTGGGCTGCTGCAAGTGTCTCTGCTGAATAGCTTGAGCGGACCTGCAAGCGGTGAGACTTGCAGCACGCGTCGATCAAGTGGACGACAGGCTTAACGAATGGCGTGGTTCCACGCCGTAGCAGGTTTGCCCCGCGAATACCGTAGCCTTTGACCTCGTCATCGGCATCTCCACCCAGGCGTCGCTAGCCGGAGTCACCGCTTGGTAGATGATCTTATTAAGGCAGGCCTGCAGCTTCCTGGTGATCGCGCTCAGTCGTCGCACTTGAATACTGGTCGGTTATTGGACACGTTGTAAAGAGACACATATACCATCAACCACACTTGGGTGATTAATGCGCGAGCCAACGCGCCTCTGAGGCTGACGAACATGTCCGCAATCATCTTGGATGTTTTGGCGTCAGCGTCTGCGCCGGTGAGTTCAGGATGTTGCGCAGGGCGAAGCTGTTTGATGCATCAATGGGGGTCAAATGTGACATTGTCGCCCCCATCCTTCGTGCACACCACATCACAATTGGTATATGTATGTTGTTGAGTTTGCGCTTTGCCAGGAGTGTCCTCGGCGCACTCGAAGCACTTGCCAATGGCGCCCTCAGTGCCAGCCATAAATATCATCAACATGTTTGGCCGCGAGAAGGGCACTGCTCGTCTCGAACTCCTCGTTGTACGACGTGGGTCTGAGACCAAAGCCTCTCGCGGTCCTTCTGCGCTTTAGTGAGAAAGCCCTGGGTGCATCCTTGGTGCCGGTGCCTGGCTTGAGGCACTGCAGGCAGTGCTCCGATTCGTCGTAGTGCTCGAATCCTGGAAGGGGTCGAAGCACCGTTGCCGATCCAGGCGGCAAGGTAAAGCACGCCACACGTTCCTTCTCACCAGTTGCATCAGCAATTTCCTGGTAGGCTAATCCTATCAGGAAAGCCATGCTGATGTCAAGGGAAGCAATGGTCCATTGCTTCTTGCACGCCGCCGTGCTTGCGAGAAATCTCCGGCTTGGCCGCCGTGCTGTTCCTGAGAAGGGCTCCGCATCAAAACTTCGAAGTACATGAAACCCCGTGACACCAAGCGTAATCTGATGGCACGTTCCATATCGCCCTGGTAGTTCTTCACGAACTT